CAGTGTAAATATCATCCTTCTCTTTGGTCTCCGCCCTCTTTGGTACTGGAGATTCAACACAGGGTCTTGTGCACGCTTGTCAAGCGCTCTATCACTGAGCTACAGCCCCAGCCCTTTGTTATTTATTTGTTATTGATTGATAGGTAATTGAATCCAGGGTCTTTGGACTAAATCCCTAGCTTTGGGGTCGGGGGCAGGGTCTTGCTAAGTGGCTAAATTGCCCAGGCTTGACTCAAATTCCAGACTTTCCTGCCTCAGCTTCCAAGAGTGCTGGGATTACAAGCATGTACCACCATATCTGACCCCTTTTATTTTTTATTTTGAGATAGGGACTCATGAAATCGCCTGGGTTGGACTCAAAATCTTGATCCTCCTGGCCCGGCCTCCAGGGTAACTGGGATTATAGGTGTGTGCCGCCACATCCTGCTTCATTCTGGTTTTGAGAAGTAAACGAAGGAGCTTCAAATTCAACTGAGGTTTGCAGTCACTCCAACAGTTCTCCTTTGTTAGAGGCCCACAGCTGAGGCTGAAATTAACAATGAGGAATTCACATCAGCAAGGAGCAAAACATGGAAGCCTGATTGCTCACTTCCTATGGGACAGGGTATTTCCCTCAACAGAGAGCTTTCGATTACCAGAGGAACTATTTTAGGGTTCTGAAGCATTTATGAAGAGACTCCTCTGTTGGCCTTAGCTTAGTCCATAGACTAAGGAAGTGAAATTCTCTACTGGTTGCTTTGACTTTAATTAACTGAAGCCACTGGCCAGGGTCTGAGAGAGGATCAGGGCCAGTGCTGATTGGACTCTAGCTTTTAGAGAGATACCGATCTTTAGATACCTAGTCGTTCAGCCAGCCAGGAGTCTAACCTTCCTGTTCCTTGGCTGGGTCTGTCTGAGCTCCTGCAGGTCACCTCAGGTGTCAGCTTGCCTCCTGCGCCTGCACCTGCTGCCTGGGGAATGCTGGGCTCCAGGCCACCGATCTTTCGGCTTCCACCTGCGGGCCCCGTCAGCCCTTCCTGTTAGAGGAATCTGTTGAAAAGAGCGCACGTGTTACCAGCATGGAAAACGCACATCTGGGCTGAAACCAGGACAGCCCAAATGAACAAAATTAAAAGCTCCAAGGAACAAGCTGACCTAGAAGTTACTTGTCCCAGCACTTCCCCCAGCCCTCTTTCTTCCCTAGACCCAAGATTGAGAGGAAGGATTCAAATCTAATAAAATCTTTGGCTTCTACCCCTGTCTTCTGCAGATGTTTAGGGGAAACGCTGAGGTCCTGGAAAGCTGGGTTCTCTGCTGGGATCCTCCCAAGGGCTGCTGCATCCACTGGAGGGAGGATACTTACACAAAGGAGGTGTGGTATTTGCAGGTAATTTCCCTAAGCCCAGTGCGCAGCTCTCACCAGACCATTTTTTTCAAGTTAAAAGCATTTCTATGGCTCTCTTGAGAGCAGTCGCTTCTGAATTTTTCCAGTCCTCTATGCCATCTTCTTCCTCTGGCACTCTTCCCAGCCCAGGTCTCTGCTGAGGGAGCCAAGCAAAGCCAAGGAAGAACCTGAGAGAGGAATGCAGGACTGGTCCCCTCCAGACAAGGCTGTTTAGAGGTTTAGCTGCTGATCTCACCTCTGCCCTAGGCCCTGGGTGGGGCTCCTTCCAAATCTGTAACCCTGTGTGATTACACTGTGGACTGTGAGGCTCTACCTCAAATCACAGACAGCCTCTTTGATCTAGAAGTTTCTCTGAATTACCTCCTTATTCCTTTCTCTTGCGCCTCTGGTCAGGACTTCTTTTCTTCAGGTTTTTTTTTTTTTTTTTTTTTTTTTTTTTGTTTTTTTTTTTTTTTTTTTTTTTTTTTTTTGGTTTTTCTCCGGTACCGGGAACCGAACTCACGACCTTGCGCTTGCCAGGCAGGCGCTTTGTCACTGAGCTAAATCCCCAGCCCAGGACTTCTTTTAAAAGGAGTGAATTCATTTACTACATGTTGGCAATAGCCATTGGGGGGCTGGACTATTTTCAGATAAGGAAGCAAAGATTTTTCTTTTTTGTTTTTTTGTTTTTTCCGTTAACAAGAACTGAACTCACGACCTTGTGCTTGCCAGGCAGGCGCTGTGCTACTGAGCTAAACCCCCAGCCCCGGAAGCAAAGATTCTAAGGGTTTAATGCAAGGCTACACCCAAATGGTTAAGGGTCTCAATTTGTCCAACTTAAAATCCAGTGGTCTTTCTCTGCCTCAGCTTCTTTATTTGTAAAGCAGAGGTGTTAACAGCATGCACTTCTAGGGTTCCTGGAAGGGGCAGATGTTTTAATACGTGCCAAGTGTATGAGGCAGTCCTGGAGACACACACACACACACACACACACACACACACACACACACTTCTGTCATGGTTGGTGCAACCACAGGGCCCTCGCAAAAACCTATGCCCTCTTGCTGGGACTTCAGCCTCCACATCTGTGAACTAAATAATCTCCTTTTCTTTCTAAAACACAAAACCCAGGGCCTACTATATAAACAGTGTTCAATAAACTTCCACTAGTATTGTTGTGCTTGTTCACTATTTCAAGCCTGGAATCCTGATTCCTTCGTGGGAGGAGGAGCCCACTTCTAGACTTGGGGAGTGTTAGGGAACAGGGGAATGAACCTCATTGTTTCCCAGCTCCCAGAAGTCTGAGGTGAGGGTAGAACAGATGCTGTAAGCAGCAGGACTGAGCTGCTTGCCTGCAACTTGCAGGCACAGATAAACTCATAAAGGGGAGGGATGACCCCTTTGCAAGCTGAGGGCCCAAAGAACAAAGACTCCTGAACAAAGTCAAGATTATAAGGCAACAATCTACTCTGTGGCATGCTGAAGGCCTTCTATTTTGAGGTGGTGCTGGGTGCTTCTTTCCTTTTATTGTACCTTTACCAAGCAATTACAGTACGAGGCGGGACCAGCATATGGAGAAAGGAGAAACCCCAATTCCCTCCCAAAGGTATGTCTGAGAGCCTTCTAGAGGTTAGGGCCACCAGCTGCAAGGAGAGCTCTGAACTCTGCAGCCTGGGAAGTGCTGTCCGTGGCAGGGACCTGCTCTGAGCTCAGCTCCTCTTTGACATCAGTCCCTATAAATGACAGGGCTGGATGTGGTGGAGCATACCTGTAATCCCAGCACTCTGGAGGGTGAGGCAGGAGGATTGCTGGGAGTTTGAGGCCTGCCTGAGCAATTTAATGACTAAAAACCAAAAGTAAAAAAGAGCTGCGCATGTAGCTCATGTGAAGGTCCTGGGTTCGAGCATATATACATGAGACAGAATAGGTTCCTGTCATCCTGGAAACTTTGGAGGAAACCAAGGCAACTGTATGGGTAACTTTGGCACCAAGTTTGGCTACTGCTGAAAAGAGGCTAATAGTGTTATAGGCAGCTAAGTTAGACAAAAATATTATAGGCCATCAGACAGGGCCAGGCCTGGAAGGAGCCAACATGAAAGACAAGATAAGATACATATTTGCTGTGGGCCAGACCTCGACAAAGGACTAGACAAATGTACCCACATATCTCCCTAGGTGAAAACATCAGGGATTGATATTCTAAATAGGTAGTGATCACCTTGAAGAGTCCCTGAGCCAACTCCTTACAGGAAAGCCCCTGTTCTGTATTCATGCCCCTTCCCCATTTGATCAATTTTACCTGAACAATTCTCATTGGCTGGCCATAGTTTTGTCCATTTTCCCCTTATCTTGGACCCACCTCACCTCGTCGTTTTACTCTATGAAAGTCCCTAGAAAAGACAGAGTCTTGGGCAACCCACTCCAGCTCCCCTTCTGTCCCTGTCTTGGACAGAAGCTTTCTTTCCCCTCAGTAAATATATTCTGCTCTTAACCTCTGTTGTTCCTAAAATTCATTCTTTGATTTTAGAGAACACGAACTCATCCCAGATATCGTTCAGGTTGGGAGTTTTTATTTTCCTGTATCAATACAAGATGCAAAATATAGTCAGGGAAAAGGTAGACCTTGTAAAATAGCCTTCCAAATTTAAGGGAAATAATCACCCCAAGCTCTGAAAGTTGTTGGAAGTCATGTTCTAACAGCTGCAATTTTTGCTGATCAGTCTGCCCTCAGGGGAAAAAAAACCCAAACCCACAAATGAAATAAAAGGTTGAAAACACAAATGTCTGTAATTAAGCTTTGCAATGACGTCTGCCCATCCAGACTTCCCACTGTTTCGTGTGTTTATCCAGGGAGTCCCAGGTCTGCCTTGCCTGACCCTGTCGCCTGTGATGGTTCCTCACTCGCAGATCACAGCAGGTCTTTCTAGTTTCCAAGGTCCAGGGAGAGAGTGAATGTCAGCGTTTCATCCTGAGTTGATGCTCTTAACTTCCGTGCTACTGAGCTGTCCAAGGGGAAAGAGGCAGCATGCATAGAGTTCAGAGCAATATGAAGACCTAAGGGGCCAGGGATGATCACACATTCCCGGCCGGTCACCAGCGTTAACTGGTCTCACTTGGACTTGGTCTCACTAGGCACTAGAGGTCCAGGCGCAGGGGAGGTGCAATGCCTCTCTTCCCCTCCCCTCCCTCCCCTGTTGACGCCTCCTGAGCCCACGCCATGCGCTCCAGCGCGGGAGGCCGAGGGGCACCCTCCTCTCGCGTCTGCGTGGAGTCTGTGAAGGCGGACTGAAGCTGGGGGTCCTGTAAGCAGCGAGGACTGGGCGGCGGTTAAGGACGCGTGCGGACGCTGGGACAAAGACGCGAGAGCTCTGGCCAAGCCTCGCAGGCCGCAGGAGGAGGCGGATCCCTGAGTGGTAATCCCAGTCGCGGAGGGGGCGACGCTGCCCGTGTCCTGTCAACTCGGGGCAGCTCCCGCGGGCCCCACCCCGGCCCCGAACCCCGGGACTAGTCCCCGCTGCCAGTCCCGCAGCAGCCTCAACCCTAGGCACGCGCCCCGGCCCCGCCCCTGCTCGCCGCTAATTGGCTGGGTGAGGACGGGCGCTCCCGCCCCACCGCGTCATTGGCTGAGGCGGCCGCGGACCCCGCGCGAGTCGCCACTGACATCACGCGGCCTGAGGCGGCGGCGCCCCCCGGCTCAGTCCCGCAGCCCCCTCGGCAGAGGCGCCGCCGCGGTGCCCGGCAGAGGATGGTGCGCAGC